CATGATTTTCAAAACGATTGATTCTAGTCAAAGGTTTTCAATAGATTGCTTATTTTCTTTCTGGTTCATTTATTAAAAAACCACCCAGCTATCTACAAAAGAGAGCAGCTTCAATGTAAAACTATTTTAAGAATTATCAGACAATGTTAAACAAGCTGCCAGACGCCTATCTGCAAATGCTATACAATGAAATCCCAACATTTAACCAGTCATTAAAAACTATGACAAATATGAATTACTTCATTTTTGGAGACTTAGTAACTCGGAATGAATTGATTGTCCATGTGTCCTAGGTGGACTTGTTCTTGTTAGGTGTAAACTAGCAGAAGCCACAAAACGCTGCTTTGTGAAGAGAGAAAAGATTGTTTAAAAAAACAATTTAATGTATTTTAGCTCATGTTTTTACAGGGTGTTGAAGTCGGAATCTGCATGCGGTGCATTTACTCCGTCCCCGTGTTATTTTAGTAGCTCATAAGGTATCATTATATATGCAGCGAGTACATTTTTGCACCCTGAAAGTACTTCAAAAGTAAGAATATGAACGTACACAGAGGCACTTTAAGCTAAAGCGTGGTGGTTGGTGATATTTCCTTACTTTTCGCTTTGCATAGTAGGATTCATTACAAATATAAATTGCTTTACAACATCCCCCGTCTCGTCTGTCATCGTTCCGCGGCTGATTTACTTCTTTTTCCTCCAACAACTATTAAAGCACATGTTCGTATAGCTGTTGGACACCAGAAGTAACACCGAGGTGTCTGGTGAAGTAGGGGTAATGCGCGCTAGGCCCTTGATTGCCCAGTGGCCAGTAAGTCATGGCGTTGACTCTTATTTGACACTCAATTGGTTCAAATGACACCATTACCATGTCTGCATGGCTAATGGCCTCCCCGGGGCCACGGAGCGGAGGAGGGTGTGGAGGGGAACATGCGTTAGGAGTGTCAGTCTGAGGTGAGAACACACATGGGCCAGGCGCAGGGCCCAGTCCACACCCAAATCAATCCTGACACCTCTTAAGAGGCTCTCAGCATCAGTGGCACTCCAGCGCAATTACCCCTTCGGTAATGACATAAGCACCCAGTTCCTTCCTGCCTGCCTCCTGGCAGAAAGCCTCTCCTGCAGGCCGGTAGATGGGGATGTTGTTGGTCCTTGGAGCAGTTGATACCCGATCCTCTCCGGGCCCCGAGATCTGGACGCCACGGGCCCTTGCTTGGGGAGAGGGAGCGGCTTTTATCTGATCGGGAGATGCTGTGCCTCTTAGCCGTCCTTCAGACAGATTGGAGGTGATGGAGCTGTCAAGATAGCAGTGGGCGAAGAGGATTTCCTCTGAACACTTCAGGTTTTAATGGTTAGTTATGATAACCTCGAAGAGTGCAGCATGTGATTGCCAGTCAGATTCGAGGCGATAACACAGAGATCCCCGGGGGTTTTGAGAGGAGCAGATTTAAAAATGGGGTCCTCTGAAATGTCCAGGTGTTGCTGTTAAAGGGGCAGTATTATATGTTTTCCAACTACATAGAAACTTTTTGTAGCACAATCAAATAACTAGGATACTATTTACTATGATAAAAGAAATTTGACTTTGTAATTTAATATCTTGAAATTAGGCCTCTGTCTCTTTAAGAAGCTCCTGCTTTTTCTGAAACCTCGCCTTTACGAAGTCATCACAACATGGCTCCTCTATTAACCCTTTGACAACTTTTTTTTTAACCAGCATTGTGCTGAGAAGAAGCTCCTATAATAAGCTCAGCAGATGCTCAGTTACACCAGGTGTTTGCTAATTTCTGCTGGCTAGTTTGAAGGAGCTGAGTGGAGGAGTCATAGGGGAGAGCTGCTCTGTGAGGCAGAAGCACAAAAGCTTGGAAACTGTAGCTCTGAGGAGGGGCTTCGTCCTAGAAGACCGAGCAAAGTCCAACCAGACGTTTTGCACAGCTGAATGGTTGCCATGGAGATTAAATAATTTTTCAAACGTGCATGAAAGAAACAGGGCAAGTCTCCAGACATGTTTTTGATGAGTGAATAACATTATAACATGATTTAAAGCTCGACAAAGTGGATTTTACATCATACCGCCCCTTAAAGACCAACACATCAACGCAAACTCAAGCTGAACTTCTCTTTTTCAACTCGTATGCCTAACAAATCGGTCCAGCATTCAGCGTTTTTAAAGAGTTACTTCTCACAAAGGGGAATTTTTCTGTACATGTGTTTGCTTGTGATAAATGGAAAAACCGGCATTTTGCTGAAAATTAGAAGTTATGAAACACCTTCTATTCTGACCTCGCGTATGATTGATTTCTCAGAGCCACTCCATCAAACGTGCAGCCTTCATCGTGCATTTCAATAAGGCCTCAGTTAGTTGGCTTGAAGGGGAAACCTGGTAGACGAGGCTTCAGAGAACTCATTGTACCGCACTGTTTTGCAGCAAGTCGTCATGGGGAGGTTTGCTGTGAATTTGACACAAAGCGCACTGTTTTCATGTAAACGGTCTGCCGTTCATGTCATGGCATCGAACGATGACGCTGTGGAAAAGAGTAGGCCACTCTTGTCAAGGATCAAAGTGTTTTAAAATGAACACACACACACACATGCACATATAAAACTATTTTTCTGAAAGAGGACATGGAAAACTATGCATGCATAGAAACATCTGCATGTATAAAACCATGCACACACCTAATCTTACACAACTTTACCTAAGAATGCCAGCAATTGTAAAGTTAAACACATGTTCATAACTCAGTTTTCTGCAAATAACTGGAGTACAAGCGGTTCTCTTCTACAGTAAAAAGTGCCGTTTCATACTGAACCGAAATGTTTAATCAACAGTGTCAAAAATAGCTGAGATTTCTTGTTAAAGCACCCTAGTGACATTTTCCAGAATCAGTCGCCATCATGTTGTTATGCAAATTAAGTCAAACAGAGATTGAAAAAAACAAATCATTGATTTCTTCTGAAAATGGTGAGCTAATCTCACCATTTTTGGCATTTTTTTCCCATGTTGTTTTAAAACAACTAAATTTGCTTATTTATAGATTTTCTTTTTATTGAGAAGGCAGAAAAAAGTACCAAAGTCACTGAAGTTTTCTCTGGTTGTTTGGATATTAAAGCATTGCTTTAATATTCTGCACCCCCATCTGCTTTTTACACCACACTCCTAGTTACCTTGATCTAGACTTCCACACATTCTCCCTTCCTGATTTCTTAAATTCAGTCCCGCTCTGGACGCTAATGGAGCCTCACTCTTTATGAACACCAGATGACAAAAAACGTACAACTGCTAAACAAATTTAGCAGGTGTTTAATATCTATCTTCCATCAAATCTGATGTAGATCACCTCATTCAACGTGGCTGGACTGCACCATTGCAGAAATCTAAATTTATGATCAAAGTGATCATAAATTGATAATCAAATCTCATCTTTCAACCCGGTTGGTGGTAAAAATCACCCAATCATAAAATGCTGCGTCTTTTCCCTTCAGCTTTTGTTTTTGTGACCACCGCAGTTTCGCCCAAGTCCAAGTTTTTGGATACCAGTGCAGTTTGAAGTCTCCTGTCTTTAATTGCACCATTTAGAAATAGTGCCACAGGCAGTGGTTAAATTCTCTCTATAAAGCCAAAGTTAAGTGGTGGGGGATCCATGCCAGAAGAAACAAGGCAATTTGGTGCAGCTTGGCTTTGCACGTGGAGCAACATAGTGTTGGCCCGATCGTACAACAAGAGCAGAACCAGTCTGCTGTTTTCAGGATAAGGCCTCCCCATCTTCCTTCACTGCTTCAACCACATAGGGTTCATTGGTGTGATGCGTTTCTTCTCTTGACAGTCTTCTTCCTGGTTTTGAATCTTGGTTTTTATCAACTATGGTATATTAACCACACAGCTGTAGATACTGACAGTAAAATGTATTCATTCAAAGTTGAATGCTAGTTCCTTACCTTCAGAAGGCAAATTCTAGCTAAAAGACCCGAAAGACGTGTCGTAAAGACTTGAATGACTCGTAGCAAGACTTGGACTCACTGCATGAGACTATTAGACTACTCATCTGACAAACCGAATGTGTTTTTATGGATCCACATGTAACCTCTGCTTAATAGCACTAAAATTGATTGACAATAAAACCTCCAGCCAAAGTGAAGATTTGCGAATTCTCCTGTTTTGCGTTTGCGTGTGAACGTTGGAAACCGAAAAACATATGACAGTCTGTGGCAAATTATGTGACGCTAATGTCACATATGTGACCATTGGCCATGCAGTGGAAGAAAGATGACTTCTACCAGAAAGCTGCTGAATTTTATGTTTGTTCATACACTCTTTACTTTTTACAAGCTCAACTGCTCCGATACGTTTCACACCGGCGGTTGCTCCCTATCGAGGCACAGTGCCGTTCATCCTCCATGTGCCGACATTCTCTTCTGTTTTATTAATTTTATATTCTAACACGGTATTTAAAAGCAATTCCTCCTCTCTGTCTGTCCACATAAATTGTTCTTTTGTCGCCATGTTTAACTCCTAACAGGAAGTCGTGGTTGTTTTGAAGGTTTGTGATTGGCTGACGTAGGTTTTAGCTTTATGCTACGTTGCCTCCTGTGGGTTTGGTATGTTAAAAACAATGCTCAGTGATGTAATTCTGCGGGTTCGCATGGATTCTTAAACCGATCAGACGTGAACAAGATTATTTCATGGAAACAAGTATCTCTGCTATATGATCTTAATAAGACCCGTCTAAGTATGGACTGTGCCTCAGTTACCATATGTTTATTGTGTTTTCTGTTTGTTTTTTGGGGAGATTTCCTATTGGCATTCGGTTGGTTGGTGCAAACATACTACCTGTTCCTTTAAAATGAGGCTCTTTGGCAGAAGCATTTAAAGACCTCCATAAAATACAACTTTAAGTATGCAAGAAAGTTAATTAGGGCCAATAATTTGGCACATTTAATTCACAATCAGGCCAGCTCCCGCTTCCTAGGTAATACCGAGTTTGTTTTCCCTTCTTCCCCAGGAGCCTCCATTAAATGCTCGCGTGTTCTCAGGGATCCAGCCGACCGGAGTGCCGCATCTAGGAAACTTCTTAGGCGCTCTGGAAAACTGGGTGGCCCTGCAGAACCAGTACCCCTCGGTGCTCTACAGCATCGTGGACCTGCACTCCATCACTCAGCCTCAGGATCCAGACAAGCTCAGGAACAACATCCTGGACATGGCAGCGAGCTTGCTGGCCTGTGGAATCAACCCAGAGAAGGCGATCCTGTTTCAGCAGTCTCAGGTGGGTGGGAGAGAGTGAGTGATGGCCGCCTGCTGTGGATTGTGCTGCCGCTGTTTTCAGATACCAAAGAGATGGGAAAGTGACTTATGAAGGCTCTTCAGTATCGTCCCCAGGATGATATAGGACCACTGAAATCAGAGTTTGATGGCGTAAATTGGTGCCTGATGCAGTTCTACTGAGTGCAAGTTTCGGACTTGTAACTCATGTTGCTCCTAACTCTGGAGCTAGACATTAAAAGACTAAGACTGTATTTGCAACTTAACACACTTAACTTGTACTTTACAATAAGTAAGACAGAAATTATGTATGATACAGAGTCAAATATGCATTAAGGTTATTTTTACCATTGTGTCTGGACTCCATTGGAATAGAAGGGAAGTATACAGTAGTAGGACAGGAAGGGGGAAGTCTTTGTTCCTTAGTAAACAATATGCATCTGTAGCTAGCTGGCTTGTGGCACATTTCTAGAAATGGTTTGGGTGACACTTTATTTGAAGGGGTGTTCATAAGAGTGACATGACACTTTCATAAATATGACATAACACCTGTCATGAACATGAAGGAGTAATCATGAATGTTTGACTGTTGTGATGTAGTGTCATTTGGTAAATGACACTTTTACTGCAAAGTTGACTTTTTTTAATTGACTTTTAATGAAGCTTTCCATAAAAAGTCTTTACTAAGTTGATACTTTTAAAGCGCATTAAAAGTATCAACTTTTCATGGAAATTTGCATTAAAAGTGCCATTATTTACTGAAAGACACTTCCTGACAACAGTCTTAAACATTCATGTTCGTGACAGGTGTTATGTCATGTTTATGACAGTGTAATACCATAAAGACTGTCATTGTGCACACCCAGTCAAATAGTGTTTCGTTGGTGGGTTTTAGCTCGTGATAAAAAGATCAGAGTGGAATGTTAAAACAGAGGCACAGGTGCATCAGACTGCTTTAACTCACACCAAACCATGGTTTATAAAAACATGCCGTCCTCCATTCTAGTTGTAGCAACTGCATCGGATCATTCATATTCACACCTTTCATATCCTTGGGAACCCTTGTTTCACTTTCACCCACATCAGAACGTTATGTAACGTAAAGCTAGTCTGAACCTACACCCCTCTGCAGACTTTTGGCACACAGTTTCTTCTCTCTGTTTGTATATTTGGTCCAGGAGAAAGCGTTTATTATTGGCTGTCAGCTCTGACGTTGTTGACCCTCTGACATGCCAACCGCCACACATATCCGCCGATTGCTACCGATCCTTATCGCCGCCATTTCTGCTGCTAATTTGTGCAGAGCGCCAAACACACAAGCTGCTGAGCCTCACTTTACATAAAGGATCATGTTTGCAGCACTTTGGATTTTAGGTTTACGTTCAGATAAAAAAGAAGACGACGAAAATCAGAACAGCTGTTCTGTTCTCTCGCCCCGACTCTGGATGTGTTTTCTTTTCTTACAACTTTGGAAGTCGGGTACGCATGTGTGTGTTACGTTCAGTCCATCTGTGTTTCTTTACCTCCCCTCCCCACTCCTCTTCCTCCTCCTCCTCCGCCTTTACACACACATCCAGGCCTATTTTTATTCCCGCTTAGCTTCGTGCCACATAACTTGGCAGCGACACGACCCCCGTGTCGAACACGCCTGCTCCACATGTAAAAATACGACGGCCGCCCAAAGAAAATACTCAACTTCATTGAAAAAAAAAAAAAAAAGAAGTGAGCAGAGCTTGTGTGAGTGAGTAGATGAACTCAAAGAATGTGTGGGTCTGCTGATTAATGGACTTGCTTTTATATATATATATATATGTTTTGTAGAAGTATTTAGCAGAAAATGGAATGGACTGTGAAAAGGCGGCCAAAAATTCCTGCTTTACGGCCTAAATGAGCTGTTTGCGTCGACTGCAAGATGAATTAATCACTTAATCGTTGAAGCTAACTGCCAAGTGCGGTGCGCTCTGTCCACACGCCAAGCTTAATTACCACTCAGTCACTATCATGCTCTTCCTGTGCGGTTATCAACATCTGACCCATCTCTTGTCAGACTGCAGTGGAATCAGCAGACCCACAAATCTTATTTTCTTTTTTGAAGGAAGTGGGATATTTTATGACTGACGTGCCCCTCCAGCATGTTAGCCGGATATCCTGCTGTATGTTCCTGCTGTCTGGTCGGTGACGTCAGGTCGTCCGTTAGGATTTTTCCAGTTACAGGAGACACAAATGAGAATTAAACGGAAATTCATAAACCCTAATCAGGAAAAGCAGAGGAACATTCGCGCTCTCTCTCACACACACATCTTCTTTATCACATCAAACCCTGGAGTTCATTCAGCGTTGACGCTCTTAATTGCTCCGCATAGTTGAAGGAATGAAAAGCCTATTTGTGTGTTTGTAATTTAGATTGGAAGAGACGAGAAAAAAGGGGTGAGGGGGAAACTCTAAAAGCTAAATTGTGCAAGTTCGTAGACAGACGGGAGTGTCAACAAACGGAATCTAAAGTATTTTCTATCATCTCTGTGACTTTGCATTAACATATCCACAAATACTGCAGCCTTCAACTTAAACACGTGATCAAAATGAATAAACTAAAATACTATGGGATTATTTTAAAGTGTCTGAACAGATACATTCAGCAGATATTTCAAACACTTATGCCTGTCACTATAACTAATTTTACCGGGCAATAAATTGTTCCAGAAATTATTGCTATAAACAGCAATAATGTCCTTTTGAGGCAATTTTCAAATATAGATAGTAAGATAATGATATAAAAAGGCAAGTTCACCCTCACTAATTAACTTTAATTTTGTACAGTACATCAACACTGGAACTGGAAAATATTTTAAATATCCAAAATAAAACACAACAACCAGAAATGATAAACAAAAAGACATTAAAAATCTGCACACAACCAAAAACCATAAATAAAATTGATTGTGAAGCCTCTGTAAACAAAATTGCATTTCAAAAAATATTAATCATCGGAATGGAAATTCTGGAGCTTATTTTTAATTAATTAATTGCTTATTGTGACAGGCTAAATAACTGTATTTTTTCCTAATGTTTAAAGATAGTTGAGATTATTTATTTTAAAATCATTCATAATGAAGAAAAAACTAAAATCTCTTTATTCAAAGTGGCATAGTAGAACTATAAGTGGTTAGTTAAACCTTGAAATTAGTACTAGAAAAATTAAAAAATAGTGCTGCAAACATCTGCAGACAGTAAAGATTATATTTTTAAATCCATTTGACAGTAATTTCAGTATTTCTGGATTATTTGTTATATATTTTTTCATTGATGTAAATATTTCATACTTTGTTTTATAGTGAAATTCACATTTAATATTTTTGGATTGTTGATTCTTTAGGCTCTTAAGTTTGTTAAAAGCAAAATAACTGCTTATTTAGCTGTTGCTGAAAGAAAAGTTAACACTTCAATTTTAAAACATTACAGATTTTTTTCATACTGTTATTTTAGTAAAATGCACATAATATGTTGTGAAAATACTAAAATAATTAATTGAATTCTGCACTAGAAGATGGCCTTTATTATAATTCCTCATTGTTTATCAGGGAATTTCACGTTTAAGTTTAAACGTGGCCGGTTGGTGAACACAGGTGTGACGAACTGCACCTGTTTTAGGGAGGGTGGTGGTGAACTCGGAGTGCAGTACTCTCCCTGTCCACCTGGAGGCAGTATAATGACCCGCATTTTCCTCTGCTTCCTTCGGCAGAAGGGTTTTCATCTGGTTCATTTGTCCGTTTGCTTTCTTCCCTCCCCCTCTTTCTGGAAAAAAAGAGAAGAAGTCAGTTTTCAAAGTGTGTGTTTTTTTGTGATTATTTATTACACTGCAAGAAAATAAAATGAGCGTAAAATGAAACGGCTTTTCATTGGATGAGTGTGAGTTCTTATACTTAGGAATACTTAAAACTAAAACTACTGAGTGATGCAAACCCTGATTTTTTCCCCCTAACTCATATCAATAATGATAATGTCATAAATCAGGCATCCATAGAAAATATTCTGTATTAGAGCTAAACGAATTCTGACCGTTTTTATGGGTGAGTGTGTGTAAGGTGTGTGTCCCTCCAACCTCCTCGCAGGTGTCTGAGCACGCTGAGTTCTGCTGGATCCTCGGCTGCCTGACCAGCATGCCCCGGCTACGCCACCTACCCCAGTGGAAGGTTAGGACCCCCTGCTGCACACACACACATGTTTGCATGGGTATCTTTGTGGGGACCCCACAAGGAGCAATTGGTCCCCACAACGTAGTATATGTCAGGAAAATGGTCCCCACAAAGTATTGCACACACACACACACACACACACACACACACACACACACACACACACACACACACACACACACACACACAGAGCTCAGTGTGAAAAGCAGGTAAATCAGTTTTGAAATGTTCAGATTTAAATTCTTACATGTTTTTTAGTTGTATTAATAACACAGAAACACCTTTTATGTTTCTTTTTTAAAAAGATTCCCATAGAAATTTTGTATGTTTCCATATTTTGCTCACTTTAAAAAACATACATTTTATGTGTATTTTTTTTCCATCCCATTTATAAAAATTAAAACAATCGTAAGATACCAGATGAGTGGTCTGTTAAGAACAATGGAGCTCATAAAACAATGAGCTGTTTTATTCTGGCTCATCATCAGCCTCTGTCCCAACATCTAAAATTTAAAAAAATTAAAAATTAAAAAACAACTTGGCATTTTTTACAGACCACATAGTGGTGTGAAAAATGTAGCTAAAAGTAGAAACTCAATAAAATTTATTATAGTGTTATTTAATAGTCAGCCTTTGAAAGGCAAACACAATATTTAGCCTTTTAGCAGCAATAAAGTCGGCTTGAAAACGCCCAACTCCCTCCACTTTCAGACTCAACATTTCACCTCGCTAGCACCTGAAGCTGTTAAATATAAACGTAGGTTACCAGAGCCACAAGCTTTTATAAGTCAGCAGTAGTTATACGTTTATTTGTAGCTGTTTTAAAAAAAAAAACTAAAAAAGAAAAAGAAAGTTCTTGACTATGACTTTTAGACTGAAAATGCTACAACAGAAATGACTTTACATCACAAACCCACAATAAGTTGCATAGTTTGTCTTTTTTTTATGACAGGACGTAAGAAGAACCCTCCACCAGGCAAGCTGTTATTTGTATCTAAATATAGTTTTATAACTTCAGATGCATATTTTGCGTCTGCAGTGGGATCTCCCTCCAGATCCAGGTCTTGGCTTGTGGCTGCCCCTTTTTTTAATTTCCTGTTTTCCCTCCTGTCTGTTGTCTGCTTTATTCTGGCGTTGTTGTTTTTGTAATCATAACTGCAGTCACGTCCCAGACCTCGTATATCCCTAAAGCAGCCGCTGCCTCCCTGCACCTCTTGCTAGATGACTTAATGCAGATGACTAGGCGTTGATGAGTCGTTAAAAGTGAAAATGGCTCTTTGTGGATTGGAAGAGGTGAAAGAAAACCCACTTGCTTTCTCACCGTATTTTTTTCCCCCCTTCTCTCTCTCAAACTGTGATGAAGATGAAGAGCAAGCAGAAGAACGAGGGCAGCGTTGGGCTCTACATCTACCCCGTCCTGCAGGCCGCTGACATCCTGCTCTACAAGTGAGATTTGCCTTCTCGTCAGATTCTCTGTTGGTCACTTTAGCGCCAGGGTTTCACTGCACATGTGTCAGATTGTCCGTGATTCTGCTATTTACTACGGAACAGGATTAGTGCCGCTGGAAACAAAATAATAATTCTGATGTTTGTTTTTTTTATCTCATAATTCTGACTTTAATCCCAGAATTCAGTTTTTTTTTTTCATGGAATTCTAAGATAAAAAGTCAGAAATATGAGGGGAAAAAGTAAAAATTCTAGAAAAATGCCAGAATGACTTACTTTAATCTTCTCACTGTAATCTCAAAATTCTGCTATTTCTCAGAAATCTGAGTCGAATCTCAGAACTGACTTTTGTATCTCTGAATTATAAGATTAAAGTTAGAATTGTAGAAAAACATCCGAATGACTTAATTTAATCTCAGAGTTCTGACTGTAATCTGAGAATTCTGCTTCTTCCCAAGATTCTGACTTTTTCACTGGATTCTAAGATTAAAGTCAGAATTATGAGGAAAAACAGTCAGAGTTCTAGAAAAGCATCAGAATGACTTACTTTAATCTCAGAATTGACATTTTTGTCTCAGAATTCTAAGATTAAAGTCTAAAGTTCTGTGAAAAAGTCTGAATTCTGAGACTAAATCCTCTAACGTAATTTACAGTTTATATACTGAAAAATTATCATCCACCATCAGTTAAACCTGAGCATTCACTTCTGTTAAAAAGTGCATTTTAAAATCCATTAATTGATTGATTTTTTTCAGTGTTCTTGCTCACACAGTATGAAGTCGTACCATCCACTTAGCAGCCTTAGTTGCTGAAAGCAGAGTTTGTAAATGTTCTCTTTGCTACAGCGCACACACATCTGCAGCCATCCTGTGCTCAAAGCAGACTTATTCTTCTAATATTTGAAAGCCAAAACATCTGCCTGCGTTTCATCTCCCGTGGGGAAAAATTGCCTAAAAGAAGGACTTAATAGAAAAAGTTTGAATCTCAAAATAGAATCTGTAAAATGACTAAAATGAGAATTTTTAGAAATGCATATTTTTTGTATTTTGTCTCTAAACAAGACTTTTAGCAGCCATCCTAAAATGCATAGGAGTTTGATTTTTTCACTTATACATTAGTTGGTTTTTAATTAAATGTCCCATATGTTCTTATTGGTAATAATTATGCAGCTGAAAGTAATTTAGACCAAAATTCTATGAACAGAATATTTTTGATGTTGGAACGGAGCAACATAAAATCCTGTGAGATGGAGGGAGGCATTCCCAGCAGTATCCATGGAAACGCAGCGTTAATGTTTCCACATAATTCAAACACAGCAGCACTTAAACCGACGTAACGGCCTAGTTCAAACCTCCTTCCTAGAGAAGCAGGAACACTTTGGTGCATGTGGGAAGAATCCAAACCTATAGTAGTAAAGAGTTGTCTTTGACTCAGACGTGTGAGATAAATCTAGATTTATTGCCAATTGACGACATCAAACCTAATATAACTGAGTTAAATGTTATTTATACTCCCAGCAAATTTAAATCTAAAGTTATCTTCAAGAAATTTGTTTCTGACTAGAAATGAAAAGATTAAGGAAGATCATCATCTGATGTAAACAAATTATCTTTGTCTAACAAAATATATATTTTTTCTCAATAATTTATCAGATTCAAATCGTAACTCTATATAATATTATTAACGTTATTATCGGTCAACTGAATCATGCTAGAATGTAAATAATCTTTTATAGGTTTTCACCATTAAGTTAGACTCGGCCCTTCTTTTCAAATCAATGGGCGTTTTGTATGGGGGACACTCAGGGCTAACTCATACACCGTCTGGCCTTTGGACGCCCAAGGATGACCTGGAGGACGTCGCTAGGCAACAGGATGTCTGGGGAAGCAGCAACTTTCAAAACTTTCATGGATTCACCCTCAGGTCCACACACGTCCCCGTCGGAGAGGACCAGGTCCAGCATCTGGAGCTGGCTCAGGATCTCGCCCGGATCTTCAACCTGCATTACGGAGAGCTGTTCCCCGAGCCGCACGCGCTGCTGAGTAAGAGCAACACACACACACACACGCCACACAGAGTAAAGGAGCACATTAGCACTTCATATTTAATCTTTTTATGCATTTAAGAAAAAAAAAAACATAAAACGTTCTGTCCGTTTACAGGATTTGATCGTTTTTCTGAAGGGAAGTTCGTTTCAGTACTTTTTCTTTTCTTTTCTTTTTTTTGTAAATGTATTAGAAAATTAACAACAAATATTTAAACTAGTCTCTTCTGCAGGTCTGCATTTTCTGGGTCTTCTCAAGCAGCCGACCTTTGATGCAACACAGGTTGTTTTGAAACAGGGTGTCTGTGCAAACTTAAACAATACACTTAAATTCATGTATCTAACAGTAAGGCCTTAAAATGTCTTCGATTTATTAAAGAAAGTGGAAGTTGGCCCAATCACAGAGCAGTGATGACTTACTTTAATCTCAGTCGTCCAGGCAAGTGTTGCCTGGACGACGTTCATTTTTGCTTTCTCACCTCTGTTGCCAACCCATACGAGGCTGCTCACATAGATGAAGAGAGCTGTATGCTATGTGAGAAGCACGTAGCTGCTGCCAAGAGTTAAAAAAAAAAACAGATAAATTTCACAATTTCAATTTCCTGAAAAAAAAAATATATATATCATTTAGATATGCATATTTTTTTAAAGATTTCTGTCATGACTTACATTTTATTCCTAATAGTTTTAACTTAATTCTTAAATTTGAGTTGGTGAAGAAAACGTCCTCTACTCCATAAATAAAAAATGAGGTGCTGACGATTAATATTGCTACATATTGTGTCTTTGTTTGCTGCTACCAATTTATTCTCTCCCTGTGGATTTTATTTGTGCTGAAGGATTTCCCGGCAGATTTCTGCTCTCATAGGAAAACATTTTTCTCCACGGCTTTTCCCTTTGAAATAATGACATCATCAGTATTTTCCTACATCACTAGGTTTTGTAATTTTAATTTAACATGAATGCCAGTTTTTGATGTGCCGCTCAAGAAAGAGCAGCTTCATAAAACTCATTTCATCGTGATGATATATGGTTTGTTTTTGCAGATTCAGGCAGAAGCAATCATTTAAAAAAATGATTTAAGAAGAGCTTTTTTTTTTTTTTGGCAGATTAAAGTCTAACCAAGCGGTCATATGTTTCATAACACAGCTAATGAGACGAACTTGTGCGTCATATGGCCAAGAAGAAAACGATTTATGCACAAAGCATAAATGTTGAGCTGCTTGAAGTAACGTGTGATTCCAAACTGGAAGTCGCTCGGATTTTAACCATCCGGACTTTAACAGGACGGCTTCCGTCTCTGCGGTTTAAAATAAAGACGAAATTAAAACCAGAACCAAGCATCTCTGAGAGTGATTATTACTATTATGTGAACAATATTTTTGTCTTAATTTCAAATGATCACATCTTTGCACTCGTTACGAACACATGGCCGACATGATCCTCCCTCATTACCACCGTCAGAAAAGCAAAGGACTCGGTGGACGCTTACAGTAAAGACGTCTCTTCTTCCTGTTGCATCAGAATCATTCAGGGGGAATGGATTAGCACATCCAGTACAAAGGTATTCATGCCTTTTTTTTATTTTATTTCTACATACTGCAACAGTTGGGGTTTTATGTGACAAACCAACTCTGTGTAGTGATTGTGAACTGGATTGAAAAGGACAAACGGTTGACTAAATAAATCTAAAATTTCGGTATGAATCTCTTTTCGGCCATCGGAAGCGTTATAAAGCCATGTTGTGCTGCCATGTCAGCTGGGATTTAGTGTTTGAGATGATGTGTGAGTGTCGTTCGTGGAAACCTGAAAGTTTGAATTTGATCTCCTCTGATTTGCTGTGGATCCCACGTAACTTGCTGCAAATTTTAAGTGGGACGTTTTATGGCTCTCTTTCAAAAACACCAAATTTATGACGTTGCACCGATAGATTGACCCCGATTTTCTTCATTTTTGGTAACTGGCCAGTATTTACTTGAGAAATGGCTCTGCAAAAGGTTTGAAAATCTTTTGCAGCTCAGCAACTTTGTTTCATGCAAAAAAAATTATAATTTTTGGACAAAATCTGAATGGGCAGGTCTGACCTTTTAAAGTTCGGTGAACGGACAGTTCTAGTTTGAAGTTCTGCTCTACTTTTACCGAACGATCGATTGATCTGTGATCTGATCAAAGATTGGGGCGTTGCTCTGAAAACAAACACTCCTCAGTTTCCTCCCTCTCCTGTGCTTCGCTCTTCATGATTCTGTTTGTTCTCTAACAGACTTCTAGCCACGTTTTCATTACAGGTCTCCGCAAATCTTTGTCTGTGTTCTGCTGGTGTTGAATCAATTATTTGGAGACAACAGAGTAAAGGGGGCTGCAGCTAAATGTGCATCACGGTGCTCAGATTTGTTTTTATTAAAGAAAAGAAAAGGAAGCTGTCTGCTTTCCAGCCGTGCTCTCCGTTGTGTTGATTCATCACATAAATAACTCTGCCGTTTGTTGTCGTATCGTCTTGAAACACAAACGGTGAAGGGCTGTGAATACTTTTTAAATCACTGGTGGATCTCGTCCTCGTTCTGCATCGGCAAACAAGTTAAGACTTTCCCTTTGAAATCAAACCAAAGCCTCAAAGGCCTTTTAATCTGCTGGAGATGAAGACGTCTCCGGCGTGATAAACAGGACACATGTGGACATATGGAGCTGGCAAGATGGCGGCAGGGATGCCTGTTGATGGATGACAAAGGAAAGGAAACCCCGGCTCCATCGTCTGCTCATCACTTCACGCCGGGATGCGTCTGCCTTACATCAGGACACGTCTGCATCAACACGCCCACGCCAGACGGCCATATTGGGACGGCGTTGCTGCGTCTTTTCACCGTCTCTGGGAGGGGCTGGTTTCATCTGCAGCAAAGCTGCTTAAGAAAAAAAATAACGTAGAAACACTCAGTGGAAAAAGTTGTGAAAATAATCAGAGATACCCGGATGAAAATTTGTGTAAATACATTTCTTAAATGTGTCTTTGTTGCTAAAAGGCTTAATATTGATTTTTTTTTTTGAAATCCTTTTTTTGTGTAGTCAAAAGGTCAGTATTATGTAAAATCTACATTTTTGAGCTTTACATCATGCTGTAAATTAATTCCCTCATCGTAAACATGCCTGGAGTGTTGCATTGATTCTTTCATGCATGTTTGAGAAATGGGACAACAAATGGGAATGATTTTCAAGAGGCGTATTTGTGTTTGTGGGGCCATAATTGCTGTGACACCCAATTATGTAATAAAGATGTAATAAATAGTTCTTGTCGTATTTATTATCACAATAATATAGCAAAATGTCGTGATAAAACTCATTCTGACACCTGCTTTCCCTTCCCGTATTTAAAGACTAAAGTGTTTGCGTCTCATTGAGCCGTCGGTTGTTTCACTTTGTTCACACTGTTATTTTGTTTTCCTCCACAGGTTCGACGCGAAAGGTCAAGTCCCTCCGCGACCCCTCCTCCAAAATGTCAAAGTCCGACTCGCAGCCGATGGCCACCATCTCCATCACCGACTCGCCGGACGACATCGCCCTGAAGATCCGCCGCGCCGTCACGGACTTCACCTCCGAGGTCACCTTCGACCCGCAGGCGCGCCCCGGCGTGTCCAACCTGGTGACCATCCATGCCGCCGTGGCCAGGCTCAGCGTGGAGGAGGCGGTGTCGGCAGCCAAGGGGCTGGACACGGGGGCCTACAAGGGGCTGGTGAGCGAGGCGGTGATCCAGAGGCTGGCGCCCATCAGGGAGGAGATCCAGAGGCTGAAGGCGGACCCGGCGCACCTGGAGGCGCTGCTGGCCCTGGGGAGCCGCAGGGCCCGGGAGCTGGCCGCACCCATGCTGGACGAGGTCCGACAGAGAGTGGGCTTCAGCTGAAAGGCGACTCACGCTGGGGAGGACACGGTTAGTTAAGCTGCTGGGGTCAAAGATGCAGGATGTTAGTTTAAAAAAAAAAACCTAATGTGTTTGACATATTGGTTAAAACTGTCACCATGTCGTGACGTTATGAGATGGATAATCTGTGAAAAGATCGATCTCCTGATCGCCCTTAGCTACTGCTGCCAACTGAAGAAATGAACCAAAAACAGCCAATCAGAGCCAGGAGGCGGGCCTTAGCGCTGTCAGTCAGCGCTGCTAAACTTGCTAACGGCGGACAAACGGCTGACCATTACAGGAAAACTGTTTATCTGCCATCAATTGGCAGGAGTTCTAACTAGCTTAGCATTCACAAGCTAGTTAGGCTGTGCTATCAGGAAGAAGCAGAAAAGAAGAGAGGAAGGATGATTGGACACGGAGGGTGATTGACAGCGCTAAGATCCGCCTCCTGCCTCTGATTGGTTGTTTCTTGTTAGCTGGAAGAAGACAGAGGTGCTTGTTTTTTTTTTTTTTTTTTTCGATTTTCTCCCACCCAAATGTCACAACATGGTGACAGTTTCTATATGTAGAAATATATTTTCTTTTATAAAAGTTACATACTGCAGCTTTAATAAGTGGACTTTTTTAATGAGAAGACGTGTTGCAGTGATTGTTCTTCTGCTGAGATGTTGTTCTTGGCTATGGATCAGAGTTTGTCACATCAAACACTGAACTAATTTATTTAGCTCCCAGTCCTCAATACAATACAATACAATACAATACGATACGATACAATACGATACAACACAATACAGGCTGATTTTCATGTTCCCAACTGTGTGTTTTTTTTATTTTTGTCATATTTCATGTGCTGCCAAAACATTCAAATCTTCTGCAAACTGAACAATAAAATTTCACCTCTCTTAGAGAGTCTCCAGGTTTTATTGTGAATTGTTCAAAAGAAACCGAGCGGCATCGGTTTCACTTGAGCAGACGAACACAGTCGGGATGATTATGTTGGTTCTGGTTTCTCTCTTTTCTTTTTTTGTTCCAGAAGAAGCTGGACCTAAAAACAAAAACTGAAGATAGCTTTGCTTTTTTCCTTTTGTTTTTTTCTGCTTTCCTTTTTGTTTCAGAAATCAAGACTACAGTCATGGTGACATAATCTACTTTAATTCTGTCTTTTTATTTTAACTGTAAATTTTTTATATGTTAGAAAACTGAAGATTACTTATGGCAACATGATCTACTTTAGTGTGTCTGATGCTTTCCTTTTCCCAAAATCTGAAGATCAGACACAACTTATTGTGACAGAATCTACTTTATGGTGCTTAATGCTTTACTTGTTTTTTTATTGCTTCAAAACTGAGTATTATAGTTTGAAGCAAACTGTAATAAGATGCTTACTGCTTTACTTCATTTTAATTTAATTTATTATTATTATTTTTCTAAAACAGAAGGTTATATTTAAGGTGACAGAATGTACATAGTTTTAAGGTGTTTGGTGGTTTTCTTTTTTATTATTATTATTTTTTTCAACACTGAAGGTTAAAGTTATGGTGACAGAATCTACTTTAAAGTACTTGATGTTTCCCTTCCTTTTATTTTTAAATCTTTTTTAATCTAAAACTGAAGATTTCATTATGGTGTCAGTATCTACTTTAGGGTGTTTAATGCTCTCCTTTTTTATTGTTATTTTTTTTTTAACTTCAAAACTGAATATTATAGTTGTGGTGACATAATCTACTTTACAGTACTTAATGCTTTCCTTTCTTGTTTCTTGTTTTTAATTTAATATTTTTGTTATTTTTCCAAAACTGAAGTTTACACTTAAAATTACAGAATCTCCTTTAAGTTGCTTAATGTTTTCCCTTTTTTTTTTAATTTTCAAAACTGAAGAGTATACATGTGATGACATTATCTCCTTTAAAGAGTTTGATTGTTCCCTTTCTCTTCTTTATTTTATTTTTTTTAAACTAAACCCTGGAGTCAGGATCTGCTTTGACGTTTGATGCTTTGGTTGCTCATCTTTGCGTCTGGACGTTGACGCTCTGCTGTGTGTGTTGTTGCCGTGTTGGCCTGAAACAAGCGGATGTGTTTGGCTAACTCCACGGTAATGAACTCCGTGTGCAGATTGGCACCCTTTACCCAAAAAAAAGCCTTCGTGCAAATGAATTTTTCATTCCAGTTGTGTGATCTCACTCTGAACAGTTTAGAAAAGCCCAGCCATTAGTTCGACTAATTTTGTGGAGCAAAAAAAAGAAAAGAAAAGAAAGAAAATGAAAAAGTCCAAAGTTAAATAATTGATTTGTTTTCTACAAAAGTGCTTAAGTTTGGAAGCTGCCAGAGCCGGGGAAATAAATTCAGGAGCGGGATCTCGTTATAGCGAGATATAAAACTTCATTCCTGACGGATTTCGACTTCATAGGCATACAGGGACTCCCTCTGACTCTCCGTGTTCTCACTCTGTTCCTCTAGAAGACATTCAGACATCCCGCGAGGTGTTGCCGTTTTACTGTTACGATCTCTCTCTCGTTTAACCGGCAACATATTTCTGTTTTAATGAGGTATAAATCTTGTTATAACGAGTCTTGTATCTCGCCTTAAAACGAGGAAACGTTCTCATTTTTAACAAGGTTTGTATCTCTCTTTTAGCTTTCCACTAAATCAAGGTGTCACAGTTAGTTGGATCTCCGCGGTTTGTACTTTGTTCAGCCTCCATTTGGCAACACAACAGCACATATTCTTCTCCTGTAAGGTTTTACAAGGCTGGAGCATGCTCCACAGTGTTTTCTTTTATTTTTTTAAAACGGGGTTTAGGTCTAATGGCTGGAGCCATTTAATAAGGCTAAGGTTAAAGCTTCATCGCTGATGAAGCATTTCTGCTGTTTTGACCTTTTTGGGTCAATATCCGACTGGATTTCCCCGTTTACAGACAGAAGCCACCAGATTTCTAAGTATTTATTTCACAGAACTCATGATTTCATGAACAAGGTTCGAGTTGGTCTTTGTTGGACAGAGACACGCACAGCATCATAGAACCTCTACTGTACTTTATAGTGATTAAAAGTGTTTTCCTGGAATTTCACCATTTGTTTATATGACAGATACACTCTGTTCTTACCAAATTGCAGAGTTCAAGTTTTGAAGTAGTTGTACATTTTCGTGAACTTCCAGTTCCAGTTGGCGTAACCATTAAGGCCAGATAAATGAGTCCTTGTCCAACATTGATCATCAACTTTTCTTTTTTTTTTGTCATTTAAATTACTGCTCTGTCTTCTATACTTACCAGAAATTGCTTGTTCTTTTGTCTTTCCTATTTAAAGGCACAATATTGTGTAAAATTGGCTGTTTTTGAACTTTAAATCGTGTTATAATGTTATTCCCTCATCAACAGCAGACCTGGAGTGTTACCCTGATTCTTTCATGCATGTTTGAGAAATCCTTCAAACTCCATGGCAACCATTCAGCTGTGCAAAACATCTGGGTGGACTTAGCCCCACCTTCAAGGACGAAGATCCTCCTTGAAGCTGCAGTTTCCAAGCTTCCACCCAACAGAACAGCCCTCCCCTGGAGCCGCCCTACTCAGCTCCTTCAGACTAGCCAGCAGCAATTAGCAAACACCTGGTGGAGCTGAGCATCTGCTGAGCTCTTTGTAGGAGCTACTTCTCAATGGAACAATGGTGAAATGTTGTTAAAGAGTTAATAGAGGAGCCATGTTGTGGTGACTTCCTGAAGGCGGAGTTTCATAAAGAGCAGGAGCTTCTTAAAGAGACAGAGGCCCAATTTCAAGGCGTTAAATTCCGATGTGAAATTTCCTTTAAGTGATATTTGATATTTATAGCATTTTTTTCTAACAAGTGAAGTTAACATAGACATCTAGGATTATCAATTTAAAGTGTAAAATACTAAAGTATTCATTACATTTTTATAAGCACAAATGACCCAAATAATGTATTTGTAAACATGTAAATGAAATATACTTGCATATAAGGTTGTATTTCTTTTAATATGACAATTCTGCAATAATATGTCTTTACTTAAAGGCTTTGTTACATCACAGAGGTACTGCAAAGCATGTGCTGTGTCCACCTCTACCAATCCAAACCTAAAACTCATGAGAAAACAGAATTGCTACAGTTTGTCATGGTTACAGAAAAACCTCATCAACAGTCCAGTGTAAAAATAATGGGATCTAAAGTTTATAGACATAAAGTGATATATATATATATATATAGAGAGAGCGAGAGAGAGAGAGAGAGAGAGAGAGAGGTAAATGTCTTTAATGTTGAACAGGATGAAAAATACACATTGAATTAATCAGGACACGAAAAGTGTATTTTAAATAAAAAATGCCGAGTCCAAATGTGAGCTGCTCATTCACAAACACGTGTCCAGTTACCTCTAATTTAATATGACAGGCTGTGTTTGAAAATGTGTGCAACAAAGAGCCAACTTTGTACATAATAAAACATATAAAAATATATTTTCTTTTCATTGTGTCCTTTAGTTTTTTATTGTTACTTCCACATCACCATCTTCATCTTTTAGTTCCACTATTGCTCCCCCCCCCCTCTTTCTTCTCCCTTTGAACTCCAAATCTTAAAAGATAAATTCCTCATTTTGTAGCAGATTAATTTAGATTACACTCCCTCTGGTTCCTCCTCCCATTCATCATCCCTTCATTTTTCCCATTCCCTCCTTTACGGTCCACGTCCTCCTGCTGCGATTTCTTCTTGAATACACTCATCTATGTAGTCCAAAAATCTTGGTCATGAGTTAGACCACATTTTAGTTACGTTTTTTTTTTCCATCCACGTATTTGAAAACCCATCAGATATATATATATATATATGTATATATATATAACAGTAGATAAATTCAGACAGGCTGAGTCGTTTTACGCAGTTTACACTTTTAAAAAATATTGGTATAATAAATTTGCCGTTTAAATTAACATTGCACGGAAACATATACAGTGCTGCGAAATAAAAATTAATAATAAGGGAGACCTTTTACTGCTGTTGGTTTTAGGAGGAGCTCCTGCTGTGAGCAGAAAGGAAACTCGAATGCAGCTTGAAAATGACGCCCTTTTCCTTCTTTTTTTACTCACGTCGAGAGTCGCTGCGCCATTAATGCGTCACGGTAAGGTTATTTAGGATGCAAACGTGTTTGCTTTCGGTTTACACATGAAGCCATGCTGGGCTACAAGATATTAATAGGAGGAAAGTCCAGACTTGAATTTATTGGCTTCTCTTTTTTTGTCAATGTGCTCCAAAACCCCCCCCCCCTACACTTGACATGGGGATGGATGGGTTTAGCATTTGAATAACACTTCTGTTCAACTTTAACCATTTGGAGCCGAAGTTCCCTGAGAATTTAATTTTCTGAGCCTTTTTATGGCGGTATATTTGGTGCAAAAGCAATTTACCTGTGAAGTTGAACTCGCATGCATTTACATTTTATTTCTTCACAAACAAATGTAGGAAAATTTACTATAATTAACACTGATGTCTACG